GAGGTGAGTTACATTCTTTCTGTACAATGTACACCACCAATGTATCTATAGGACATCAACAACTCTGGTGACGGCGGTATATACGCCGAATTGATACAGAATCGCGCCTTCCAGTTCAGTAAAGAGTACAACGTCTCGACGGACCACTACTGGCCCATCAACAACGCCGCTCTCAACATAAAGTTCCTGAATGAGCCTCTATCCAAGGCGCTTCCGGCATCTATGCACGTTGCAGCAGGCAATGGAAGCGGTGAGGTTGGTTTCAAGAACGATGGATACTGGGGTATGGACGTCCAGGTCCAAACTTACACCGGTTCTTTCTGGGTGAAGGGCGCATACAATGGGTCGTTCACCGCGACTCTGGCATCGAACCTGACCGGTGATGTTTTTGGTTCCATTGAAGTGCCATCCCAGTCCGTGGCCGACGTCTGGACTGAGCATACGTTCGAGCTTGTACCCAACATGGCCGCATCAAACTCCAATAACACTTTCGCGATAACATTCGACAGCGCGGTAGCCAGTGCGCTGGACTTTAACCTCATCAGTCTTTTTCCACCGACCTACAAGAACCGCAAGAACGGTCTACGCGTCGACATCGCGCAAGCTCTTGCGGACATGAACCCCCACTTCCTCCGATTCCCGGGTGGTAACATGCTCGAGGGCCTCACCAATGACACGCGCTGGGACTGGAAGAATACTCTAGGTCCGCTGAAAGAGCGTCCCGGCTTCCAGGGTGTCTGGAACTACCAGCAAACTAACGGTTTGGGTATCATGGAGTACCTCGAGTGGGCCGAGGACATGGACCTCCAAATTGTGCTTGGTGTGTGGGCGGGCCTCGCACTCGACGGAAACTTCACGCTGCAAGAAGACCTGCCGCCTTTCATCGAGGACGCGCTTGCCGAGATTGAATTCATCAGTGGCCCAGCGAACTCCACCTGGGGCGCCCGCCGCGCTGCACTTGGCCACCCGGAGCCCTTTGAACTCAACTATGTGGAGGTAGGCAACGAAGACTGGCTTTCAGGCTACCCTGGAGGATGGGACTCGTACCGCGCGTACCGATTCCCAATGTTCTACAACGCGATCAAGAAAGCGTATCCGCATATCCAGATCATTGCTTCCAGCTCGACCAGCGACCCCGCAGACGAGGGCGCAACAACGGGCCCGAACCCGAAGGAAGGCATCATCCTCCCCGAAGACGTTCTCGGCGACTATCACCCCTACCGAGAGCCCAACGAGCTCGTTGAGGAATTCGACCGCTTCGACAACGACATCGGCCATATCATCGGCGAAGTCGCAGCAACACACGTTAACGGCGCCACTCCCCCGCGCTGGAACGGCTCGCTGTACAAGTACCCGTGGTGGATCGGCGCGGTCGGAGAAGCCGTCTCTCTCATCGGATACGAGAGGAACTCTGACCGTATTCCCGGGACGTTCTACGCGCCGGTGCTAAAAAACAACAATCGCTTCCAGTGGCCCATTACGCTCATCCAGTTCGACGCCGATCCAAAGCGCACCACCAAGGCAGTAACGTGGTATTGCTGGAGTCTATTCGCGCATCATCCCATCTCGCACACGCTTCCCACAACGAGCAGCAACTCCAGCTACGGACCGCTGTACTGGGGTGCCGGCAAAGATGAAGCCCGCAACGGGGCCTTAGTCTGGAAGGGCGCTGTGTACAACACCACCAACGGCGATAACGTACCTGTCTCTGTGCATTTCGAGGGCGTGGCGCCAGGCACGTTGGCGAATTTGACGTTGCTGACCAACTCGGTGGGGGATCCGTACATGTACAATGATCCGTTCACGGGCATCAACATCGTCCACACTAACACAACACTGGTGGCTGCTGGAAGCGATGGCGCGTTCAAATTCAGTTTACCGTCATTGAGTGTTGCGGTGCTGGATACTGATCCCGCTGGCTTATCGAGCGGGAATGTAATAGGGTAAACAAGACCGGCGGCAATTCGGACAGCGGGCTGGAGGGGCGGTCTTGGGGTAGCGTCGACGGTTGTCTTGCTCGCACCGATATACCGTCTTCAGTTGCTGGACGTTCTTGGTGGCAATCAGCTCGCGAATCTCAAAGTTGGAGATGTAGCCTCGAGTACCAGTGCAACGACCTCGAGCTGAGGCTGACTCCTTGCCGACGTAAGTACACATCGGTCCTGTACATCCAGGCGACTTCATCTTGAATGAGCGACCATATAGAGGCATGCCAACTATAATCTTACTCGCTGGTACGCCGGCTTTTGTCGCCATAACAGGCGCTGGTTCGGTTTCCGTTTGATTGATATGATGGCACAAGCAATCTCCTTTCACGCAGCCGTCTGTTGACCATTTATTGCCTTAATCCCATTGACCATGGGGGTCGTACGTCATGTAGATGATGTGGTCGACAACCTTGCCCATCTCTTCAATGGGAAAGCCCTTATGTACCATAACGACGCAGGCGCTGCGATACTGATCGTCTTTCTGTCAATGGGAACAAGTCGAGAACATGAGGGAAAAGCGTGATGTATTGACTATGGGGGTGAGAGCTCTATCTATACGCTAGTAATCAGGACACAAACACCTAGAAGGCCGTGGAGCACCGTAGATAGCAAAAATGTCTCAGGCACAAACATACCTCGGGCACAAAGATACAGAAGGTCATGGAGCACCATGGAGCACATATCTGACACTTTCCCTTTGGCAGTCTCCTGCGTACGGGTTTCAAAAACTCTACGAATTTTGGCCCATCGTCCGGGCTCCCCGGAGGAATGCCGGGAATATCTGGAGCACCTGAAAAAACGTGTAAGCAGCTGTAGTAACTCTGGGAGGATTCGCTTCGTCATTGCAAATTTGCACGGAGTTGCGCATATTTGCGAAGATCCTCAGGTTCAAGTTGGTTGTCGTAAAGAGGTGACAAGGCGCGGTGCGTACCTGGGTATTTCCAGTCAAAATCGAGGCCATCCGAGTTATTATCCGCAGCGAACTGCATGACGTTATTTGCGAATGCTGTTCGTTGAGCTGCTGTGACAACCTCTCTGAAGATGGGGTACGTATCATGGGCCGACGTTATTCCCGGTCTACCGGTAGCGGACTGCCCCTCAAATGCCTTACCGGCGGTTGACCGACCCAGAATCGCTTCAATCTTTCTTGAACACAGCAACGTGTGCAGAAGAAGTATGGCGCATATCGATGGAGCGGAAGTCGCAAAGCATAACAGCAAAAAGGATTGCTGGATAGTGCTCGACTCGAAGGCGTACGACGTCACGAGCTTTCTGTCGGAGCATCCAGGAGGTGCACCTATTATCCTGAGGAATGCTGGGACGGTGAGTGCGATATATGCTACCAAAGGGCTGGATGTTGATGTTTGAGCAGGATGCGACGGAAGAGTTTAAAAAGTATCACCCGTTGAGCTATCTAGACGACTACCTCCCAAGTGATGCCCTGCTCGGACCGGTCGACCCTAACACGTTCGGCCAGCTGAGACAAGCCAAGGAGGAGACCTCGGCAAAACCATCAGAGGCCGATATCTCGAAAGAAGTCCCGCATGTCAGTCTCTGCGTTTCAACACCCGACTTCGAACAAGCAGCGAAAGCCGTACTGCCACACAAATCCTACATCTATGCCTCCGGATCAGCGAACACCGGCGCATCACTCAAAGGCAATATCGATGACTGGGGCCGTATCAGCTTTCGTCCACGTGTGATGCGTAATGTAGGCAATGTAGACACGAGTCGCAAGATCTTCGGGCACAGCTCACCTTACCCATTCTACATCTCTCCCATGGGAACAATGGGCGCGATCCACGAAGGCGCGGAGCCAGAAATGATCAGAGGCGCAGTGCGAAAGGGTGCGCATGTTGTAGTCAGCACAGCAAGTACGAGGAGCAGCGAACAGATCATGCAGAGCTATATCGACGAACAGTCCCGCCTCAACAATGGGAGTCCGACGAAGCTTTTCTACCAATATTACATGCCGGTCGACCGCAAGAAAGCCATCGAGCTAATGCGCACCGTCAAGCGCAGCGGATACAAAGGTCTTTGGATAACGGTCGACACACCCGTTCTCGGGAAAAGAACAGCAGATCGATATTTACAGGCTGAGGAAGCGCTCGCAGTCGGTCTCGCAGAGGAGAGTACCGCGGAGTGGGAAGCTGGCGGCGATAACGCTTTCGCGCCCGCGATGGGTGGAAGACCTGTGCAGGGCCAGCTGAGTCCGCATACGACGTGGGAGGATCTCGAGTGGATTCGAAAGGAGTGGGAAGGCCCGATTGTATTGAAGGGAGTGCAGTGTGCCGAGGATGCGAAACTTGCGATGAAGTATGGGTGTGATGGGATCTTGTTGAGTAACCATGGCGGCAGACAGTTGCACACTGCACCCAGTGCGCTGATGACACTTCTTGAGATCCGAACGTACTGTCCGGAAATTTTGGAGAAGCTAGAGATTTTCCTCGATGGCGGGCTGAGGGATGGGAATGATGTGCTCAAGGCGCTGTGTTTGGGTGCGACAGCTGTGGGTGTCGGACGGCCGTTTCTGTATGCGCTTGGGGCGTATGGTGCGAAGGGTGTTGAGAGATGTGTTGATAGTGAGTACAGGTTCTTCTGTTATATTGAGACAGTTAACTAACGTTATGGTAGTACTTGCGGAGGATCTTCAGACGGGTATGCGATTGCTCGGTATCACGTCGCTGGATCAGTGCAGACCTGAGATGGTCAACGCAAGTCGGCTGCTGAATGACATGTGGCGGCCAGAACAGCTCAGTGTGAAGAGCAAATTGTAGTTCCAAGACATCCATGTATCTGGCCACCTGAGAGTCTTCCAAATGCGCATCCACACACCGTCATCAAATGACAATGTTCCAAATCGTGTTGTCGTCCACCTACAAGCTAAGTGGGCGTCGGACACAACCGGATACGACAGAAAAATTTTACCCCTCCACAGCCCCACCATTCTTTAGTGCTCAAGGAAATAAACACAATATTTGGTGCTTCCTCCATCAAATCACTGAAACTGGCGGTGAGATGGCCGAGTTGGTTATGGCGCCAGGTTAAGGTTTCCCTTAATATCGCGGATTTATCTGCTTCCTGGTCACGAAAGTGGCGTGGGTTCGAGTCCCACTCTCATCAGCATTCGTCTGCATTGCAGATACTCCAGGAGTTCTTTTTTTGTTCCAGTTTGAGCATAAAAGCGGGGCCGGGTGTAAGGGGGGTAAGCGAATGCTAATGTAAAGGTAGGTGCGGGACATTGTGAGAGCGAGATTTCTCATGAGGTAATGAAGTCCCACATGCTGCATGTTGGTGTGGTGCTTCTTACTCCGCTTGATGAGCACCTTCTACCGTTAGATGTATCATAGATACGTCATGCAGAACAGGCCCTTCCTGTAGCCGCACAATAGACAAAAACAGTCCAGTACCTCTCTTGACTTCTCTTTGCAATGCGCGCAATACATGGGATCTTGACTTAGAATGGGCATCTCCCTGATGATGCTTTGCTCTGCTTGTATGTTTGGCAATATGTTGCGCACCGTAGCAGCTGCCAAATGCTTCATGTGACGGTTTGTGAGGTGAGGGCGTTCTGTGCAACACGTGTGTTTGCCCGATGTTCCTCCCTCAACTCCATGAGCACTTTCTACACACATATACATCATAGATACGTCATGAAAACAGACCATATCTGTGGCCATATGAAAGGTGGTCACGACAGCAGAACATGAGAACAACACAACGAATACATTTTCATACTTTGATTCACTGCCTTGCGCATTTTACCCTTTGACAACTACATACTTTTACCGCGACACTTCATGAATGTATTTTTCCGTCTGTGTTTAAGCAGGTTGAGAGCAAAGCCGATTACATGGTCAACATCCTTCAACCTGTCCCCATGTTTGACGAGCGTATCGTTGAGTCTCTTTAGTGTCTTGTGCCACTGTGCAAAGATTCGGTCGTTTTCTATCCACTCACCAGGACTCAGCTCACTAAGCCTCTTGAATCCGTAGTCGAGTTCTAGATCTTGGTAACTATACTTCGTCTTAGCCCACACTTCACCGTGCGTATGCGGCTCGCCGATTGTCTAGCGCCGACTCTAGCATAGATAAAGCGATGCGGAATTAAAACACAGTCTGACCCTCATGAGCTTGGGTATTGGTAGGGATTTGATGGCGTATAACAGGCTTGCATCAGGGTCCGTACAAGCAGACTTGTCAACAATCAAGCCGATCAAGCCTCAGCCTCCGGCTTGACTTGAGGCTTGAACATGGTGTGGGCAGCTTGATTGATTGGCTTGTTTGCGGGTTTTTTGATGGCTTGGCTTGAGGCTTGATTGAAGGCTTGATGATGAGAGGTAGTCTTGGTGACGTGAATATGTTTGTATTCTGTGAGCTACGGAAGTGGAAGCCATGGAAGGGGAAGCTAAACAAGCCGAAGAAAGATGCTAGTCTAAGAGGGGAAGCGCTCACAGGCGCTCCCTTGAACACTTGATGATTTAGTGTTGTACATATCTATCAACTATACTAACTACTCGTTCTCGTGATCCCAATCGCACAACCGATATACAGCATCTATCTCAGCGTCAGTTATAGTCGCTGTATTAACGCTACTGCCCTGATCAAACCCAGCCCTATACCACCGCCGCACGCACTGTATAGCCGCTAGTAATTGGGGTGAGATCTGCCGTCTTTGAGGCTCAAGGAGGTCGCCAAGCTCGCTGAACATGCGTTCACACTCGCAGCTTGAAGCTGGGATAGAGAGCACGTCAATAGCCATCCGGGCAAGGTTAGGGTAGCAATTACGCAAGCCTACCCAGTATTTGATTGGGTGAACAGCAGCGTAGCTACCCTTATTAGCCTTTGGTTCGCAAGCCTTCCACCTTTCATACTCATCCAAGTCTCCGTTAGTAGCAGCCGTAGGGCCGTCCGGGTCTAGGAGGGCATCAATAGCGTCGTCAATCTCACTAGAGATAACCTTTGGTCGCCTCACTGCGCGTGGTAACGTGTTGTACTCTGCCCAAAGCAAGTGAAACGCACAGTTATTTGCCTCTAGCCACTCAGGTTTGTCTACCCAGGCGACCTCACAGTACGTCTTATAGCGTGGATGGAGTAGAGTTGCAGCATAGTATGCGGGTGAGTGGTCGAGCTTGTCGTAGTAATTACTAGCCTTTGCCCAGGCAGTGCGGAGGTTGATTGCAAGATCAGCGCTTCCAACAGTGCGTAGTACGTCGTAGCACTGTACGGCTGTACGGCTGAGTAAGCAGTACGTACTAGCGGGTGAATTGAGTCGTAATGTACGCGTTCAGGTGACGATTTGGGAGCCGTAGTACGGGCTGTACGGCGTAATTTCGGGTAGCACGGGTGGGTACCTGCGGGCCACTGTGAGGCCTGTTCTGTTCCCAATTTGTTAGCAATTTCCCAACAAAATTGGAAGGCCTTACGCAGAGCCGTGCAGAGGGGGTTGGGGAGGTGGCTGGGTGAGTTTCCTGGGTATATAGCAGCCGCTCTACACACCCAAAACGTCACCACCTACCCTCAATATGAGCCAATCACAGCAATCTCAACGCTCTCAAGCCCCTGTTATTGCTGCCCCAATCTTCCATCAAGCTGCCTCCCGACGCCTTGCTGCCGCCCAGCACACGCCAAGCCCCTCGCCCTCATCCTCACGCTCATTGTCGACCTTTGAGGAGCGCTCACAGGTATATCCGGACGGCGATTTTGGTGTACTTGGCTGCCGTTTTGAGGTAGATTTCAACCGCGTTTCTGATAGCCGAGGTCGCCTAGTTGCAAGCCGTTTGGGATATCGGGTGAGGCATATGAGCCAGCTTGCGGGCAAGCGTGATACGGCTCCGATATGGCAACATGGGATGGAGTTGGAGTACTTGGAGGACAATATAAAAAAGTCGAGATTGTGGCTTTGCGAGCGTTGCCACCTTGGCCATGTACTCAATAACGTCAGGCGTGTCGACGGTACTGCTTTTATTACTAAGCACATGCAGAAAGTCTATGGGATTGATCCGAGTACGGGTTACTTACCTGAAACTCCATCGCGGCCAGCCTTCAACTCGCCGTTTGAAGCTGCTGCAACTGCCGGCAGCGCTTCAGTTGTATCTCACTCTCCTTGGCAAGAAGACGCACTGCAGAGCGCGCTCGTCGACTGGGTAATTGCTAAGGACGTTAGTTTCTTCAACGCCACTTCGAACATGACGCGCGGGCTACTTACATGGAATCGAAGCCAGCTCCTCGCCGCGCTGCCCAAATCGCCGTCCACCATGTTGTCGTACGTGATGAAGCGCTGCAGTGAGCGTAAGGTTGAGGTTGCAGCAATGTTGAGGGCGTCGAGCAGTCAAATAAGCATAAGTATAGACGTATGGACGTCGAGTAACTACATGAGCTTTCTTGGTGTTGTGGCTCATTTTGTTGGTAAGTCGGTACTTTTGCCTTAGCATGCCCAAAACGCATAACTCCAGCCGTGTTAGCGTTGGATAGCTCCGGGAGCTGCCACGCTAGCCACCCAAAACAGTGCTTGCAGCCGGATTTTGATGCTGACTTATTCTCAGATGCAAACAACCAGCAGCGTACAGTACTTATCGCCTTCCGCAACCTCTATGGAGACCACACGGGCGCCGCCCAAGCGTCTGTTATTATCAACGTACTTGAGTCCTACAAAATCACCAAAAAATTTCACTGTTTTGTGGGCGACAACGCCTCCAGCAACGACAATGAGACCATCGCCGCCCTCAACGAACACGCTGATATTAACCTCAACTCTAGCCACCGCATACGCTGTGCGGGCCATATAATAAACCTTGTCGTCAAAGCTACAATATACGGCAAAGGAGTCAGCAAGTTCGAAGAGCAGCTCGCTGCAGCAACTCCAATGGATCAGTTCAAGCTCTTTAGAAAGCTCGGAGCTGTTGGCAAACTTCACAACTTCGTGAACGCAGTTTGCGCATCTCACAAGCGTCGCGAGGCATTCAACAACATACAGAAGCAGTACAACGAGGAGCAATTACTATACAATTGTACTGCGCTGCAACTCGTACAGGATGGCGGCGTGCGCTGGCACTCTGTGTATCTTATGCTGCTCCGCTGCAAAGAGTTGAGAGGACCTATCAAGCGCTTTATCCGCGAGCAGTGCCCCGACGACAATGACGACACCAGCAACTCTACTGCCTCGGCAACCAACAAATACGATCCGTTGGCGGATAAGCTCACTGACGAGGAGTGGGATGAGGTTGAGGAGCTAGTTGACTTTCTCCAAGCTCCATACGAGGCCTACAAGCTCCTCGAGGGCGATCTAGGCACCTCGGGCCATGGATCTATATGGCAAACGCTTATAAATTTGCAGTCTTTGTGGGCAATCTACACAAGGCCAAGGGAGGGCCCACGAAGCAAATTTATCACGGCCGGTATCAAATACGGCAAAGAGAAACTCGACACCTACTTTGACAAACTACTCCTACAACCTGACGTCAGCTACTACGCTGTAGCCCTCGCCCTCCACCCTAAGCTTCGCCTCACGTGGTTCAAAACTCATTGGAAACACTACCCTAAGTGGTACAAGAAAGCTGAAGCCGATATCCGCAAAGTGTACGCGCAATACCTTGAAGCTGAGGTTGAAGCCGACGAGGCTATAGCACCTCCACCAACACGCCGCAAGCTACCTGTTAATCACAGCTCATTGTACGCTCAAACAATGAGCGTTGATCTCATGTTACTCACCAACACCACCGCCAAACGTCAGAAACGCGTTGGCCAACTCGACGAGTACTTTGGCAACCAATCTATCGACCTCAACAGTGAGAGTGAGCATGAACAGCAGCTCCTTGAGGGCGATCCATGGGAGTGGTGGCTTCAACGAGGGCGATCCGACTATCCAATCCTGTTCAAAATCGCCATCGATTTCCTATCAATCCCAGCAACCAGCTGCTCAAACGAGCGAGCCTTCAGCAAGGCGAGAAGGACAATCACGTGTGATCGCAATTCACTTGCAGGCGCTACGATTGAGGCACTGCAGCTGCAGAAGGACTGGCTACTCTGCGGCGTTGTGAAGAGCTCACTGAAGGATTTGGAGAAACACGTGGCAGAATACGACAAAAAGCACGCCCGTCAAGTGACTGATTCACTGCCAAGCGA